GGGCAGATGTGGGGCACACACCCCACAGGAGCCCCCGGGTCCTGCAGCAGGGCCCGGGCTGGCACCGGCTCTCACCAGGTGAGCGTTGAGCTTCTCTTTGGTGGCATCGGGGTGGCCCCAGGCCGGCTTGGAGCAGAAAAGCTGCAGCTCCACCTGCTCCAGCCACTGCAGCAGCTCCGTGATCTCCAGGGTGATGTCCTGGACCTGGGGGCGAGGCGGGGGTCAGTGCCAGCCCCAGAGCTGGGGGTCAGTGCCAGCCCCGAGCTGGGGGTCAGTGCCAGCCCCAGAGCTGGGGGTCAGTGCCAGCCCCGAGCTGGGGGTCAGTGCCACACCCAGAACGGGGTCAGTGCCAGCCCCAGAGCTGGGGGTCAGTGCCAGCCCCCCGAGCCCTGTGGAGGCCACTGAGCCTGGCACGGCTCTGCCCGCAGCCCTGCCCTGGCGGGATGTCCCTGGAGTGGGGTGTGGGGTGTCCCTACAATGGGGTGTCCCTACAATGGTCCGTGATTATTTTATCTCATCCCTCGTGGAAGGATCCTCCTGAGGTTGGCACATCCCCCTTCATCATGGTGAGCAATCCCAAAGTTTTCCATGATCCCACCATGCCCTTGTACCCACGTTAATCCTTTTTAACCCACTGATCTTTCCCCCTTGGCACCACCTTTGCTTTCCCCCATAAAAATCCCAATTTTCCCCCCAGTTCTTTAGGGACCTGTCATCCCTGGCTCCCTTCACAGGGCAGCTGGACAATAAAGGAATTCCTGTGGAATTTGCCATTGAAATCACTGAGCTGAAATCACCCATCGGAGCGGATCACTGGTGGCCACTGGCCACCGTTTGCTGAGGTTTGGTGGCCAGAGCCCCCCTCAGGGGGCAGCCCCCTGTGGGACCCTCCCCCGCTCTGGGAAGGTCGGCGACTTCCCGGGTGGGAAATCAGATTTCCATGGACCCCCCCCACCCTGCAGTACCTGGCTGAGGTTGGTTACACCCCCAGGTGTTGCCGTACCTGGCTCGGGTTGTTCTCCCCGTACCTGGCTGAGGTTTTTCTCCCCAGGTGTTGCCGTACCTGGCTCAGGTTGTTCTCCAGCTCCAGCTGCCGCCTCTCGGTCTGGCCCAGCACCAGCTCCCAGCGCTGTCCCAGTTCCCGCAGGCTCCTCTGCAGCCCCTCCTCGCCGTCCCCCAGGCTGGAGAGCAGCAGCGCCTGCCCGGCCTCGGTCACCGACTGCACCGTGCGGGCGTGGGACAGGACATCGGTGCGGAGCACCTGGGGGGCAGGAGGGGGGATTGGGGTGGGGGGAATCCACACCCCAAACCCCAAAATCTGCACCCCAAACCCCAAAATCTGCACCCCAAACTCCAAACCCCAAATCCCACACTGTGGGCACCGTGCAGGTGTGGGACAGGACATCGGTGCGGAGCACCTGGGGGGAGAGCAGGGCGGGATTGGGGTGGGGGAAACACACCCCAAACCCCAAAATCTGCACCCCAAACCCCACACCCTGCTCAGCCCCACACCCCGAGACCCCTCTGTGCCCACAGCACCCTTGGCACCGCAGCGCTGGGGACTGAGGGTGCCCCCCTGGGCAAGGACGGCACCCGTGGGTGCCCCCAGCCTGGGCGTGGCCGGGGCTGGCACAGAGGGGACAGGGAGCCCTGGCACAGCCCCCCCTGGCAGCCTCGCCCGCGTCAGGCACGGCAGGAGCGTGCCCGGGCAGGGGACGGTGGCACAGCTCATTCCTGCCGTGGTGGCACCGAGGGAGGGGACGCGTCCCTGCCCTGCCACTGCCCAGCCCGGCTGGCACAGCACCTAAACAGGGCCTGGGCAGAGCCCTGGGGCCAGCACAGCCACCCTGGGGTGCCACCGCAGCCGGGACACCCACCCTGGGGTGCCACCACTGTCAGGACACCTGGGACATCCACCCTGGGGTGCCACCGCTGTCAGGGCACCCAGAACACCCACCCTGGGGTGCCACCGCTGCCAGGGCACCCAGAACACCCACCCTGGGGTGCCACCGCAGCCGGGACACCCACCCTGGGGTGCCACCCCCAGCACAGCCACCCCGGGGTGCCACCCCCAGCACAGCCACCCTGGGGTGCCACCACTGCCAGAACTCCCGGGACACCCACCCTGGGGTGCCACAGCTGCCAGGGCACCCAGCACAGCCACCCTGGGGTGCCACCACTGCCAGGACACCCGGGACACCCACCCTGGGGTGCCATTCTGGCTGTGCCCGCGTGTCCCCGGTGCCACCCCGTGCCCCCTCTGCCCCTCACCCTGTGCTTGGCCAGCTCGATCTCGCAGCCCTGCAGGTCCCCCTGCACTGGTGCCGGGCTCTGCAGCTGCTCCCCGGTGCAGCTCAGCCACTGCAGCAGCTCCTGCAGCGCGTGCTGGAACTGCCCCAGCCCGAGCAGCGCCGCCTCCAGCTGGTGCTGCCAGGGGACAGAGGGCACAGCTGGCACTGGGAGCTCGGACAGAGCCCAGTGCCCACCAGTAACCCCCAGTGCTCACGGAGAGTCCAGTGCCATCCCAGTGCCACCCCAGTGCCACCTCAGTGCCATCCCAGTGCCCACCAGTGCCATCCCAGTGTGCTCCCAGTGCCATCCCAGTGTGCTCCCAGTGCCACCCCAGTGCCCACCAGTGCCACCCCAGTGCCACCTCAGTGCCATCCCAGTGCCCACCAGTGCCATCCCAGTGTGCTCCCAGTGCCATCCCAGTGCCCACCAGTGCCACCCCAGTGTGCTCCCAGTGCCATCCCAGTGCTCATGGAGAGTCCAGTGCCCACCAGTGCCATCCCAGTGCCCACCAGTGCCATCCCAGTGTGCTCCCAGTGCCATCCCAGTTCCCACCAGTAACCACCAGTGCTCACGGAGAGTCCAGTGCCCTCCAGTGCCACCCCAGTGCCCACCAGTGCCACCCCAGTGTGCTCCCAGTGCCATCCCAGTGCTCACAGAGTACCCAGTGCCCACCAATGCCAACCCAGTACCATCCCAGTGCCCTCACAGCCCTGGGCATCCTCCCAGTGCCATCCCAGTGCCCAACCAGTGCCCTCCCATTGCCCCCCCGTGCCCACCTGCCGGCTCACGATCTCCTCCTCCAGGTGGTCCCAGCGCTGCCGGAAGTCGCTGAGCGTGCCCGGGGGGTGCCCGGTGCCCCCCAGGTGCCGCAGGCTCTCCACGTCCACCTTGCACTGGTACAGCTCCCGCTTGAACTCCTGCCAGGTGCCGGGGGGGGGGTTGGCGACCCTGGTGCCACCCACCGGGACGGGGTTCCATGGCACCCAATGGCACCCCCTGGAACCCCACGGCACCCCGGGTGGCCCACGGTGGCACCTTGAGCTCTGCCAGCTGCTGCTGCACCACGTCCAGGTCCCCCCCGAGCAGGAATTCCTCTGCCATGCGCAGCTCGGCCGTGTCCAGCCACTCCAGCAGCCGCTGGGCACAGCCAGGGAGGACAGCGGGGGTTGGGGGGGGCACCGCGGTGTCCCCTCCTCCCCCGAGCAAGGTGGCACAGCCGCTGGATGGGGCAGTGCCCCAGGTGCCCACCTGCCCGGTGCCCACCTGCCCGGTGCCCACCTGCATGGTGCCCACCTGCATGGTGCCCACCTGCACGGTGCCCACCTGCCCGGTGCCCACCTGCATGGTGTCCTGGTAGCTGAGGGCCGCCTGCAGCTGCTCCTCCAGGTGCCCGTTCCGCTCCGTCCATGCCCGGCTCAGGCTGTGCCAGGACGAGTAGAGCTGCGGGCACGGGGGGTCAGGGGTGCCAGGGGGTCAGGGGGACAGGATGTGGGGTGGGCACGGTGGGCAGGGGGTCAGCGGTGCCACGGGGCACGGGGGGGGACAGGATGAGGGGTCAGGGTGGGTCAGCAGGGCCCCGGTGGTGCAGGGTTTGGGGGGCAATAGGGTCAGGGTGGTGTCCGAGGCACAGAGGTGGCACCGCAGGGACATCCAGAGATGGGGGGTCAGAGACACCCAGGGCACAAGGGTGACACCGCGGCAGTGCCCGGGCACAGGGGTGGCACCACAGGGGTGACACTGTGACAGTGCCCGGGCACAGGACCAGCGCAGCTCTGTGCGGGTCAGTGGCACCGAGTGGGGTCAGGGGTGGCACCGAGTGGGGTCAGGGGTGGCCCTCAGTGGCTCTCTTGGGCACTGGGGACGTGCCACCCCCACAGGCAGCCCCAGGGCCCTCCCGGTGCCACTCACATCGTCCAGGCTCTTGGTGACGTCCGGCTTGTCGGGGTCCCCGCACGATGCCATGAGCTCCACGCCCAGCGTGCCCAGCGTGTCCAGCTCGCCCTGCAGGGCATCGATGTCCTCCCGCAGGGCCTGGGAGGGCACGGGGGGTCAGGGGGGCTCAGCAGGGCACGGGGGTCAGGGGGGCTCAGCAGAACACGGGGGTCAGGTGCCCCCCCAGCCCTGCCCAGCCGTACCTGCATGGTTCTCAGCCGGGTACGGATGGCCTCGGGCTCGCCCCCGGCCTCCTCCAGCCCCAGCACGAGCTGCTGGGTGTCACCGAGTGCCAGGGCCAGCTCGGACAGGCCGTGCCAGAAGCGCTCTGCCAGTGCCAGCAGCTCCCGGAGCCAGCGCTCCCGCTCCTGGCAGCGGCTCTGCAGGGAGCCCCACTGTGCCAGCAGCTGCGCCGTGCGCTCCTGGATCCCTGCGGGGCACAGCGGCCACGGGCTCGGGGTGCTGCCCCACACATCCCCACGGGGCCCCGATCGCTGCCAGCCGGGCACTGCCCACCCCTCCGTGCGTTACCTCTGGCCGCAGCATCGGAGCTGACCCCCTGCATGGTGGCCAGCAGCTCCTCGCCCTGTGCCCGGATGCCCTCCAGGGCCACCCCGAGCTTCTCCAGCTCGCCCAGTGCCAGGCTGTTGTCCCGGATCTGCTCCCTCAGGTGGGCAGCGTCCCCACGGACGGGGGGCTGGCACTGCAGCCGGCCCTGCAGCCGCTCCAGGCACTCCAGCAGCACCTCCGTGCGCTCCGAGAGCTGCGGACAGCGCGGTCACTCGAGGGCACGGCGCAGGCGGGCAGTGCCAGGGCCGTGCCAGGGCCGTGCCAGGGCCGTGCCAGAGCCGTGCCAGGGCCGTACCTGGCTGTAGCGCGGCAGGGCATCCTCCAGCAGAGCCGCTGCCTGGCGCACCCGCTGCCGGATGAGGCCGTACTGCTCGTCCAGCTGCTGCCAGCGCCGCTGGAAGGCGGCCCCGTGCTCGGGGCTCAGCTCCAGCAGCTGCCCCGACACTCGCTGCAGCTTCCCCAGCAGCGGCCGGTGCTCGGCGATGGCTTCGCGCAGGCTCTGGGGCGAGGAGGAGCCGAGGGGGGCGTTGGGGGCATGGGCTCCATGGGGTGGGATTGCCCCATTGGGGTGGAATGGGCCCCATGGGGTGGATTCGGGTAGGATGTGCCCCATTAGGGTGGGATGTGCCCCATTGGGTTCACTGGGGTAGGATGCGCTCCTTGAGGTGGATTGGGGTGGGATGTGCCCCCCAGGGATGGATTGGGGCGGGATGTGCCCCCCAGGGGTGTGTGCTGCTGCTCCCAGAGCACTCCCGTTCCTCGGGTGGCCCAGCCCGGTGGCCCAGCCCGGTGGCCCCCGTGGCGATGCCACCCCCATCCCGCAGCCTGACCGAGCGAGTCCCTTGTGCCCCGCCCGCACCTGCAGCAGCCCCTGCTGCTCCTTGAAGGCCTCGTAGCTGATGGCGTTGGGCGAGAGCTGCACCCCCAGGGCCTGCGTCTCCTCCAGCCAGGGCAGCAGCTCCTCCAGCGCCTCGGAGAACTGCGCCAGCAGGGACTGGGCGCGCTCCAGCTGCACGCCACAGGCTCCGCTGCGCAGGGCCAGCTGCTCCGTGCGCTCCCGCAGCGCCTGCACCGACGGCTGCGGGACACCGGGAGTCACGGCAGGGCCGGGGACACCGAGCACGGCCACCGCCGGCCGCGGGCAGGTCCCTCCCAGCTCACCTGGAGCCGCCGGAGCTCGGGGCAGCAGCGCAGCAGCGGCTCCGAGAAGCCCAGCAGGCGCTCAACCAGCCCCCGGCAGTGCAGGATCTCGGCCGAGAGCAGCTGCAAAGGAGCCAGAGGTGGGTGCCAGGCCCTGGGGATGCCAAGGTGGCACCCCCGGCACCCCCGGGCAGCGCTGCAGACCCACCTTCTGCTCGGAGAGCTGCGAGCCCAGAGCCTCGGCATCGAGCTGCACGCGGCCGATCTCGTCCAGCCGCTCGCCCAGCGCGGCCACCCGGGCGAGCTGGGACTGCAGGACCTGCTCGAACTGCAGTGGAGGGACAGGAGTGAGCCGGGGGGGCTGGGAATGCACCGGGGGGGCTGGGAATGCACCGGGGGGGCTGGGAATGCACCGGGGGGGCTGGGAATGCACCGGGGGGGCTGGGAATGCACCGGGGGGGCTGGGAATGCACCGGGGGGGCTGCTTGGGGACACTCAGCACATCCCCGGGGACCCTGCCACAGCCCAGCACGTCCCACCCAGACCAAAGCGACCCTGCAGGCAGCGCTGCTGGGAACGGGGAGGGGCGCAGGGGGCTCAGGGTCCCACACCTTCTCCCTGTCGCTGGCCGTGACTGAGGGCTCCTGGCCGTCCTGCTGGCCCTCCAGCTCGCCCAGTTCCTTCTCCATGCGGCTCAGCCACAGTGCCAGGTCCTCAGGGGCCGTGCCCAGGCGAGACGAGGCCTCCAGGGTCTGGCCCAGGCGGTGGGCGGTGTCAGCGCTGCTCTGGGCCACGATCAGGTACCGCATCCTCAGTGACTCCATCTTCTCCTGCGTCAGCTGGGCCTCCTCCCCTGGGGCAGCGTGACACTGGCATCGGTGCCACCGGGCTGGCATCCCTGGACACGGCACTGGCCACGCCGACAGCTTCCAGCCAGGTGACCATCACCGTGTCCTGAGCTTCCCTCTCTGCTACCCCTGCTCCTGCTGCTCCCAGACCCAGCTCTGGCCAGTAAAAGCCAAGTCTGGCCAGTAAGAGCCAGCTCTGGGTGGTGAGACCCAGCTCTGGAGAGTAAAACCCAGCTCCCCAGCACCGAACCCTGTCCCACAGTGGCCTGCTCCCTCCACGTCCCAGGGGTGCTGTGTGCCCCTCTCAGCACAGCACAGCGCACCCCAAGGATCCCCAGGGGTCCCCTTGCTGGCCCTGGCTGCTGGCCACTGCCTGTGCCCATCCCATCCCCACCCCCACGGTCCTGGCCCCGTGGCCACCACCCCCAGCCGTTGCCACTCGCCTGTCACCATCTCCAGGACCCGCTGCCCGCTCTCCAGGGCGCCATCCAGCTCTGCCAGCCGCCCGCGGATCTCCTCACACAGTGCCTGCAGCGGTGACCAGCGATGACACGGGTGCCCGTGGCCACCCCGTGGCCATCCCGTGGCCACCCCGTGCCCACCTGGGTCTGCTGGTGGGCTTCCTGCACGCGGCCCACGCAGCCGTCAGCGCGCCACAGCTGGGCCAGCTGCCGCTCTGTGGCACCGAGCCACTCCTGGAAGGCGTCCACGGCCCCCTGGAAGCGCTGGGCTGCGGGCAGGATGCGCTCCAGGCAGCCGTACCTGTGCCAGCAGGGCCGGGTGAGCCGGGCAGGTGTGCCCGAGACAGAGGTGCCAGCCAGGAACCCCCTCCTGCCCCACACCAGCGTGCCCCAAACTGCCCTGGAGGGTCACAGCAGGGCCGGTGTCCCCACACCACGGGGACGGTCCCTCCACCGTGGTGGCACCAGCGGCAGAGCACAGGGACATCGGGGTGGCACGGGGGGGGGACAGCAGCGGGCAGAGCCCGTGCCAGCAGGGTGGGGGTGCCAGTCTGGCTGTGAGGGCCTGGCCCCTGACCCACCTGGCTTCAGCCTCCTGCATCAGCTTGTCCCACCTCTCCCCGAGGCTGCAGAGGCCGGCGCCGCCCTCGGCGCCAGCGCCCTGTGCCGTCAGTCTGTCCTGCAGGACGAGCTCCACTCGCGGCCTCCGTTCCTCCAGCAGGCGCTTCAGGAGCTGCGGGGCCGGGGACACGGCGCTGAGCTGGGGACCCCCGTGCCCCCCTCCCACCTGGGCCCCCTAATCCCCGGGCAGGACACGCGTGGGTGGGCTGGCCCCGCTGACCTTCTGCTCCTCCAGCTGCGCCTTCACCACCTTGGCCTCGGCCGACGGCGGCTTCTGGTTGCTCACCAGCTCCTCCATGTCGGTCACCCAGGCCAGCAGCCGCTCCAGCGTCTCCTGGCCCCGCTCCGCTGCCTCCTCTGGGACAGGGACAGCCCGTGAGGACACCTGTGGGGAGAGGTGGCTGAGCCGTGCAGCCGTGGGGCTGGGCGGCAGCCGTGGGGCTGGGTGGCAGCCGTGGGGCTGGGTGGCAGCCGTGGGGCTGGGTGGCAGCCCCCACACCACGCCCTCTCCCTGAGGTGACACCGGTGACACTGGGACCCTGTGCAGCCGTTCCCTGGCACCCTTCCCAAAGCGGGGGCTGCACACCCTGTGCTGCTTGGACCCCTCCAGGCCCATGGCCCCCACCAGCCAAAGCTGAGGGAAGGGAGCTGGGTGCCAGGGAACCAGGCTGGGTGCCCAGCACGAGGGGTGCCACCGGCCCAGCCCCACACCCGGGCACAGACGGCGACTCCACACGAGCCCTGGCCAAGGCACACGAGGGTCAAGACTCGCTGTGGAGAAAAGAGGGCACAGGGCCTGGCACGGCGACCTCCCAGCGAGGCTCTCTGGCCGTCGGTCACCTCAGCGGCGTCCGCGTGTCCAGCAGCAGCAGCAGCGAGCTCCCCCACGCACTCCGTCAGCACGGTGACCGTCCGGGTGACCACGGGCTCGCCGCCCTTCTCACCCGCCGGGTACTCGGTCACCTCCACGATCTCGGTCACGATGGTCTCGGTCACCTCCGTCACCTCCGTCACCTCGCGCGTGGTCACAGGTTTCCAGGACCAGGCGCTGCGGGGAGCGCTGGCTCGGGGAGGGGTCCAGGCTGCGCCCCCCACCTGCGCCCTCACGGCAAGTCCGGCCGCAGCCCCGTTCTGCACGGCCACCTCGGACTGGCTGCGCCTCAGCACCGGGCTGTGCGTGGCACCGGGCCCCGGGCTCCAGCCGTTCTCCAGCGGCACCGGCGCCTTGTCCAGCAGCCCCGGCCACGCCTCGGCCACGCTTTCGGCCGGGGGCTGCCCCGCGTCCAGCCCCGGCTCCCGCAGGAGCTGCTCCGGCCGCCGGCTCTTCTCGCCCAGGCAGCTGGGCCGACTCACCGAGTTCCCCATGGGCCCCCGCCTCAAATCCCGGCCTGCAAGGAGCAGGGGATCCGCGTTACCGGGGTCACCGCGGACCCCCGGACCGACCCCCAGATCGATCCCCTCACTCCGCTGCTCTGCCGGTGTTGGGGGTCCAGAACCCCCTGACCGACCCCCCGACCGACCCCCTCACTCCGCGGTGCTGTCGATGTTGAGGGTCCGGGACCCCCAGATCGACCCCCAGGACCCTCACTCCGCTGCTCTGCCGGTGTTGGGGATCCTGCCCCCCCGGCAAAGGGTACCGGGACACGGCGATGGGACACTGGCTGTCACCGGGGCCTGGCGGAGGGAGGGGACCCCGAGGGACCCCCCCGGCAGTGCCCAGGGTGTCTGTCCTGCTCGTCTCGCGGGGGGAGAGACAGATGCTCCCGCCCGGCATCGCCTTGTGCCGTTGGATTAACGAGGAGCGGCGAGAGAGGAGCATCTGCCCGCGGGGACACGCAGGGGAGGGACGGGGGACAGGGAAGGGACAGGGAGGGGACACGCAGGGGACACGCAGGGGGCCTCCCCCAGCCTGCAAGCGCTGCCGCAGCCATAAATCCCCGGCGTGACCCGGCAGGACCCTCCCCCGGCACAGCCCCCTCCCCTCCCTTCCCCTCCCCAGCGCTGCTGCCCCCGGGCTCAGACCCGGCCCTGGGCACGTGTGTGCACACAAACACACAGAAACCACACAAACACACACAAACACACCTCTGCAAACACACAAACACACAGAAACCACACAAACACACGTGTGCAAACACACAGAAACCACACAAACACACACAAACACACAAACACACAGAAACCACACACAAACACGCACAAACACACGTGTGCAAACACACAAACACACAGAAACTCGTAAACACACCAAACCACACATAAAAACACACACAGACACACACGTGTGTACACCGAAACACACAAACACACGTAAATACACACAGACATAAAACACACGCACACGTTCAAACGTACGCACACGTGTACACACAAACAGGTGTACACACGCACACGTGTACAAACACACAAACACACAGAGACACGTGTGCAAACACACACACACACACAGACACGTGTGCAAACACACACACACACACACACCACACACACTCACTCCCACCCGTGCCCACACACTCCCACCCCACTCTCGCAGCCCTGCTCGGCTGGGGAGGGGAGGGGGCTCAGGGCCCGACCCTGCCTCAGCCGTGACACCACACACACCTGTAGCAGCCCCGCACACGCGTGGGGAGCGCCCCCGCACCCCACACGCACCCAGCTCGGCCGTGGCCCTGGCGTGGGCACCGTGCCCTGAGCCCCCCACGACCCCCGCAC